GGAACATAAACAACACATTTTGCTAATGCTGATCCAAACCTGCTTGTAAAATGTTTGAAGTGATTTGTCGAGTTTACAGAGAAGACTCTCCATCTTATATTACCATGCTTGAATGGCATTACAGATTCAAAAGTAAAATTTTGGTAGTTTCTTGGGTCTCATTAGGATGTGAAAGGGAAACTGACCAATGACTGAGATTAGCTCATTTAAACAGATGCTACAGGTTAAGTTTGTCTGAAAACAGATATACAACCAGTTTCTAAAACACTGATTCTTAAAACAAAGATGATGGATGAAGTTCAAGTAATAAAACTACATGCAAGAAGATACAAATGTAAGCAGCTGTGGCCCATTTTAAGGTACTGTCCAAGCACTTACCCTAAAAGACTGAGAAAAACCATAAAGAACCTGACAGGACAGCCATGGACCATTCCTGGCTTGTTTACATAAGGTATAATCTAGGTTATAAAGAAGATCAGATTTAAAATTTATATTTCACAAAGAACATGGGCTGGCAACTCAACTTAGTGGAAATTTCTGTTGAGGGTGTTTTGGTTTACCTCACACCCTATTTCTGCCCATCTGCGGATAACCAATAGGAGAGGAATTACTCTCACTTGAACTAGTTGTTCGACCAAGAAGTGGACTAAGTTCGAATCTGGCTGACCAATTAGAATTTGCAGATTTAAACCAACTAAAATGTGTCCATTTTTTTTAAAGAACCTTTTTTTTAGCGTTGGTGACGCTAAAAACACTTGCAGCTTCATCCTGGTAGACAGTGGACGCCCTTCCGTGCCACTATGCGGATAATCAGTTTCCAATTACTATTCAACTTATGCGAGAAATGGTCAGAACAAAATGGAAGTGATTCAAGTTTATTTTCTTATTTTTTAGTGTGAACTTCAACTCAAATAATAATTACTGGTTTATTTCAAATGCAGAACGAGTATATTCATACTTGTATCCCTGAGATGACCTCATGAATCCACGAACAGTCAGCCAGGACCCACCTAAACATCGCCTCACTTCGGTTTACCGTTACCTAACCGAAAATGGTCCCATCTCTGAGTAAAAAATCTTGTACTTCTCCGGTTGTTACCAGAATGACAACATTACGTAAAATCAACTATGATGAATGATGTGTAATAAGGACATGGGGATGGAGGACAAGTTGTCATGGACTGTTCACAATTCAACGGGAAGGACAATAGAAAATCATAAAACTTCAGGATTGCTTAGCCACTGAGCTTTGCACCAGACGTCAGGTGGGCGAGGTACAGTGGAACTCTTCTTAATGTTCAAAGAGAAGGAATTGCTAACTGTGCAAAACCAGCAATAAGCAATCCCTCATCAAACGCAGTTTTATCAACAGCTGATTTCAAGTACGCATGTTTTGCCATTTTAGCCGCTTTTTCCGACGACTGTACTTCGTTGCATGTTTTTAATTCATAAACACATTAACAAATAAGTGACTTCCGTTCCAAGAGTGGGCTTGTCAATAACGACATATGAAACCAGTTTTCCGGTCCATCAGGAAAGTTTATTTTTCGGTGATACTTGTCCCCTTAAATTTTCTTCCCACTATTTTGTTTACCAAATTAAGACGCAACTAAGGCTGCTGCAGTTCCTCTAACCCCTTACTTTCCGTATGGCGCTGAAAGACTGTTTCTCAAACACTGCAGCTGGCAAGGGATTGCTGTACTTCAGACTCTGCTTAGTAAACATTAGTATAGTTGACCTGTTTCCTGGACGTTGAAGATGACCCACTGATCAGGAGCAGCAGACAGAGGAGGCAAGGTGAGTGTTGGAGTGGCTTTCATCCAGAACAATGGCTGGGTTTTGTTAAAGTCTGGATTGTCAACAGACGTGAATGTAATTGGGATCCACCACAGAGTTGACCCTTCGCCTTCAGGCGGAGATGCAGTTGTGCTGTTCTCGGTTTTGTGGCGCAAAAGGAAACGTTCCTATAGTAAACATTAATTGAAGCGTAGAAGACTTCAGAGGATGACACCAAGAAAGTAGTGTGCCAGGGGTATGTAAACAAACATCTGCAGATATTTATTACCAAACCTATTATCATGAATTACTCAAGAACTGACAGTTCTTAAAATATTAATAAAATTCACCAAGTGAACTATCTGGCAGTGACAGGAAGCACAATCCTTTAAAGTAAAGCATTTTTCATGGCTGTATCGTATTATAACATGAACGTGAACTAAATGCAAACAAGAAGTCAGCCTCGAAGCATTGGTCATATATGAGCATGGCTGGCCTACTAGAGCCTTCCGTATTGGCAGCTAAAGTGTTGAGACACAACGAAATATGATTTCTTTAATATTTAAATGTGCAGCTCTTTGATGTTAAAATTTTATATATCAAAATCAGTGCTTTCATTACTCATATACACAATATATTCATATTAAGATGACATTCGGAGAGCAAAAGATACGAGGTTACCTGTTTAAGGTGAACCGTTCCTGTATTGTAGTCCCTTGTGATTATAACCACAGGAAATCCAGTCTGAAGTGTCCACGTATCCATGATTTCTTTCACTGACATACTTGAGTCTAAAACTTTATCGACGTGTGCTTGAGAAGTAAGTGCTTCCCAAAGGTCATTCTGTGTCGAGCTCCCAAATTTTCTGTAAAAGACAGACAACATTCATTGTAAGAAGACGCAAACATTAACACACTGCATATGGGTCATGCGTAAGCGTGGTATAACGAGTGGCGGTTCACGTCTTTGTTCTGTGACCACAGAAAGCCAGCTACAACTTTGTTAGGGATCATAAGCTGACAAATACTTTGTTGCTTAGAACACTGACTTCCTGTAACATGTGTTTAGACATAAAACATAAATTCATAGTTCCTTTAACCTACTCAGAGTCTCATGTGCATGATTATGACAGTTCTTCCTCAGCTGTTTGCGAGTCTGGCATCATGAAAGAGGCCCAACGCAGAAGAAATTGCTCTGGATGTTTACGCTGGTGTCAAACATGCTGAATGGTAAACACATGGACAGTTCAGAACCTGCAGTGCGATTATTTATGAAGGGACGTGGAATACAAGTACCAGCAAACACCACAGAACATGCTATTCTGAGTCTGAAGAGTCTAAGACAGGTAAAAGGTGTGACAACGTACATCCTGTTCCTGATAGTACAGACTATGTGGGACAAAGAAAACTGCACAAGAACAAAATAAAGATTTATTGCGAAAAATGGGAGTAAATACTGTGCCAGAAAAGCCAGACAGTATTTATGAGGTTTTGGGAAACTTAAAAGCTGGTCTTCTAGATGCAGATTTTACAATAAAATCAAATCTGTATAGAAAAGAAAAGAAAAAATAAACATGGAAACCTTCCATAAAAATGCGAAGTTCATCAGATATAACAGCAGTTGAAATGTTAGCAATTCATGAATACTAATATTGATGCGTCAAGAATAGAAGGGCCATATCAAAGAGGATACGTTGAAATACCTAACCTCCACACCTGTATTTCCAAAACCAATATGTGGGAATTGCTTTAAAACAATACGGTAAACAAACAGGCAGAATATTTAGAAGTGACTTTGTTTAAGTGCGTGGAACAAAAATTCAGAACATTATAGAGTGGAAAAAAAAGGCTGACTGAAATTTAAGATACACAATCCAGGCAACACTATAAAATATGGTTTACGGGTCAGGACGCCGTGTGCGTCTAGAAGTGTCCATGTAACTTAAGGAAACAAAATTGGTGGATGTTATTCTCTCAGTGACCAGTGAAAATTAGAACAGAACCATTATCGACAGTCTCGCAAGGACAGTTACTACGACTGTGTAAAGGTAGCAGACAAGAAAAGGACAGGAAAACGGAAGAATATATCGAGAAGCGTCGCTGCATTGTTCAATACAATACGCAAATGAAGAGTCAACAAGACTCATGAATACTTCACCTTTCACAGCATGAGGAGGAAAACTGTAAGATAACAGAGAATGTGGTACTGCATGCAATCAACTGTGCTCTTTTCAGTGCTCTGTTTTTTTAAAAAAAACTAAATAATCTGTCAAGATTATACATAAGAACTTCCTCCATAAAAGAGCAAGACAATAAATGGAAAAGGAGGAAGAAGGCAGTACTTCCACAGAAGACAACGTTGCCTATACCAAAATTAACAAAGAAATCTCCCCTGTCCTCATACATCAGATCAATAAATGTTACAGGAGGCAGAGGCAGCAAGACATATCCAATCAGGAGGTCTAAAGTCTGCGCTGCAAACAGGAGAGAAACGGGGAACAAAATGCACTTGCAAGTTTTGCTCCGTGGCACTTCACGGGAGTTCACGATTCGAGAAATATCACTCTCGTAAACATTATCAGACATAACGTGACTATTCTGCAACAGTGAGGCCACCGCACGCATCTACGTAAGAAAGAAAGTTGAAAATATTGTCATCTTCCTCTACTTCAAAACATGAAGGCCTCTACGGCGTACCTGCGAACAGGAAACTGGATTATGCAGGAAGATCTTGAGGCATATCCACCTCAGTCCACCGTCAGCTTTCCGAGCATGAACTCGGATATCGTAATCTGATGCAGGTAGTGAAATATTAAATCTTCCACTTCACTTCCACTGCCATGAGAATCAACGTCACTTTCCACTCTTCAGAATAACAAATAGTACAGACTTTCATACATAAATGCAACACCAGTTAGCGCAGAAATTTTCACTGTGCGTTCCACAAACATGAAGTTACGTTAGGTGGAACGAAACGAAATTTAAAAAAGATATAAACACACGTAGTTTACAGACACACAGCAGGACATTATATAATAAATTTATTGTGTGATATATTTACTTTAACCAAACCCTGCATCACTTCATACGGGACAGAAAAAATTATATCTTGGTTCATTTTACAAAATATTTTTTCCAAAAAAATTATAACCTGAGAAGTCTTCGGATAATCAGTGAAGCAGTTAAGCCTAACGTATTTCTATAATAATAATAATAATAGTGATTCTTCGATGTTTACAGAATCATTAAAACTTTCATATCGTGAGAACTGTTTTATAATTTTATGAAAGAAATCCACTTAAAAGGCAATGGGATATAAACTCCTATACTGCAGGTGAATTTAACTTCGTGGCTAAAGGGTTCTGGGTTTGCCTGGACTGCACACCAGCCATGATGCCCAGGCATTCATATTCTTCTAGTGGGCTCTGCGTAAAAATTAATTGAAGCAAAATTAGATATAACAGTGTAAGATCAATGTATCCTTTAGCATTAATGTTAACTTCATTTACCTGCTGTTAAGATACTTGGTGACTCCTTTCTTGAACACCTCAGTGGTGAGAAAATGATCCATCATACGGATAATGGAAGCACCTAGAAATAATCATTCGACTAAAAGTGAAGTGGAAGAATTCATATTACGCTCGACCCCCACCAACAACTTGCAAGCAAAATTTGTCTTTTCCTGTTATTTGTGATCGTTCAAAAGTAATCAATGATTTCAGTTTTAAAATTCATATCCACAGATGCCTTAATCCACGAGCTGAATATTTTGAGAACATAAGTACAGTATTCTGCTTCATTTGCCACATGAAATAATGAAATATTACCTTTTCCGTAAGAGATCCTGTCAAATATTTCGTTGATCTCATCAGGATGACCGACTTCAATTGAAATCTGATGTGAGGACTCAAGAGCATCCAAAGCAAATACATTCTGAAGGTCAAAGATGACAAACTGCTCCAGTATTTTCCATGAAGGCTCCACCTACAGAAGAAGAAAACTTTGAAGTTAACAAAAGTGAGTTCAGAGCAGACGTAACTTAAAATTAAGGACAAGTCACCGTGACCATTCCCACCTTCAATCTACGACACACGATTTTAAAGAAATGAGCCTGTCTGAATTCTAGTGAAGAACAAGACATACATTATTTTGGTTTTGAGAGAATTTGTTGTGAAAATGTAGGAAACTTACTGCATTGACACCCAGGTATTCGACGTAGCTAGCAAATCCTTCGTTGAGCCACAGATCAGTCCACCAGCTGGGCGTGACTAAGTTACCGAACCACTGGTGAGCCAGTTCGTGGGACACGACTGTGGCCACGCTCTGCTTGTTGCTGTTGGTAGACACGCCTTGTTTGTACAGCATCGCCGTTTC